TCAGAGAATCCAGGTCGTGGGTACAGGGGTATTGATTTTTATTTTTCTCTACATCTGAAAAGTTCACAAGTAAGAGTCACACATACAAACATGCTATGGGGCCTTCAGTTCGCTCAAGCGAGCCTTCCGCTCTCACCTGTGCAAGGAGAGAACAGGACACCTGCGTGACTGCGTATGCTGCTGATCACAACCCCAGAGGAGAGAAAAGAATGCTTCCACAGCAAAATCTATTTCCAAAATGTTAGAACCCCATTTTGTTCAGGAAGCTTGAGGAGAAAAGAATGGACGCCGCCGGACGGCAGCGCTGCCAGTGGGGGACCCAGTGTAAAGCACAGACTTGCTCAGTCGCTGTGCTGTACACCTGAAACCAATGAAATGCACGTCAGCGATGCTTCAACTAAAAAAAAAAAGGACCGGCACCTCGACTTACACAGCCAGGCTCTCTTGTGCCCACTAAGAAACAAGAAAAGGGAAACAAACGCTAACCACCTCCCTCGGTAGGTACAATTAGCATATCGGCTGCAACTTTCTTAGCCAGTATGTTTTATTCTGTAGGTAACGCGCAGGCCTGTTTGAACATGAACCTTCACGCAGACGTGTCTCTTATCAGTGCCTATTTCCCTACGGGTGAAGGAATGGAGGCTGGGGCTTGGCCCCAACCCTGTCCTGCGTCAGCCTGGGCCACTCCAGGAGCTGAGTGCTGACACCTCTCTCCCACTCTAGGCATCCCAGGTGATGCTGGCTGGCCAAAGGACCGGCAGGGACACATCACCCTGTGCCTGAGGCACAAGCAGCCCCGTGAACGTACTCGCCCCCAGAAGGCGGTTACTCCCATTTGCGGATGGCACATGGAAGCTGAGACAAGTGCAACAATTTGCCCAAGCTCTCCTGATCTGTTACATGGCAGAGGCAAGATATGAAACCCAGCAAAGAACCTCACATCCCCTTTGGGGTTCACTGTCCACCTAACACCACCTTTTCCCTCCTGGCCAGGCTGGCACACCGCACACCCAGGATACAACCAGAACCCTGTTTCTCACCCTGCCCTCAAAAGTTCCATGATCACACAGCAGCCAGAAGGAAGGGGGCCTGTGAAAACGCAAGTCAGCTCATGACCCTCTAACGGCTGCTGCCTCACGCAGAGAGAAAGCCGATGCTCTTCTAGCAATCTGCAAGGCCCCACCATCACCCCCTTCTCCCACCGCTTTCCTCTCCCAACATCCAGTCCAGCCACCCCGGTCTCCTTGCTGTTCCCCAAGCACAGCAAGCATGCCCCAGCCTCAGGCCCTCCGTCTGGAAGACTCTTCCCCTGGGCAGCACACTGCTAGTGTGTGCCACTTAAAATGCCACTTTGTCAGAGGCCTTTGCCAACCACCCTCACAAAAGCAGCACCCCCTCCGCAGGCCTGCACTCTGCTTTCACCTCTCCCCAGGGCTTCTCGCCACCTGACACGCCTGAGAGCCAGCAGCCTCGTCACCCCAGGGAAGCCCCACCAGATCTAGCCTTTGCCTCTGTAGTTCGCTGGCCATGGCCCCCGTGCCTGGCTCGCTGCTGCTGCTCCATAAACACCTGCTTCAGGAAGGAAAAGGAACAGGACAGCCAGTCTGACTGAAGACACCGTGGCGTGGGGGTGGGACCAGACCCGCCCGAGGAGCCTCTGCTGGGCGTGAGCCTCCTCCCAACACCGGATCAGCCAAGAAATGCGCAGCAGCGGGGTGTGCGTGGAATAAAGCCGAGAGGGGAGGGGACAGAGAAGTGAAAGAAACGCAAGGGGTTGGAGACAGGGCTGCAGAAGAATGGCCCCCTCAGCCGCCCTCCAAGGGGACCCTCTGAGGAGGTGAGGCTGAGGGACGCCTGTTTTTTTCTCATTTAGAAGCCAGGCTACTGACAACTTAAACCCAATCCCAAGGGCGAAATGTCAACTATCTTTTAAGAGGATAAAAAAAAGAATTCCTTCAATCCACTTGAGGTTGCTCTGACAATGGCAGGCATGTGGCCTGCTGACAGGAGCAATAGGGACATAAGCCTAGCTGTGTGTCGGGACAAGCCTGACAATAACAATGACGGAGCTACCGGAGGCCAGGAAGGAGCTGTGGAAATCCACTTGATCCTCAAGGCACATACTTGGCAGGCTATGCCGCCACCTCCTTCCTCCCACCTCAGTGCCTGTCATGCTACTAGGAGGTCCTTGGCGGGGGACAGCAAAAGTTGTCGCTTTCCCTTCTGGCACCACAGAGAGGTGAGGCAGGCCTTTCTCTGAGGCCATGTGCGTGATGTGCTCTGCTAGAGGCCACAGAAGGCACCAGAGGGAGCCTTGAGAGTGGCCTCAAGACTATGACCGGCAGCCACCAGCAGCACTTAAAAGCTCCATGTGGTGAAAGTCGGCCTGTGCTATGCCCACCTCCGGCGGCTGAGAAGGGACTTTGGCTACCTTCCTTCCACTGTTGTTTCTTTGGACCTGCCCCGGGAATCAGCAGCAGTGGACAGCAGGCCAGAGCAGGCCGGATCAACAGTGTTTGACCCAAACCTGGGTCAGTCAGATTCTCCCTCCTAGGAATTGTAATCACTGGAGTCACACAGCCAAGCAATGTGAGAAACCGGGCATGGGGGTGGAAGGGCACGCAGGGGACTTCCAACATCCACCACTTGGGAAAAGGCAGAGAGAAAGAAGTCTGACAAGGGAATACTGACGCAGCCAGGCAGAGAAACACAGGGATGAAAACTAGGAGCGTTACGAGAATGTCTTCTTGTTCTTGAGGCCCAGTGGGCTTCCGGCCGTTGAAGACCCTCAAGTCCTTCTGGTGCTCCCCCACCCCCATCATGATGTTGCCCCAAGATGAATTCTGTTCCCACAGGCTTGAAAGCCTTTGCTGCTACAGATGAAATCTCAAAGCGCCTACCCATTCCTCTCACGCCCCCACAGGTCTCAAACAGGTTCTTCCTGGGAGGCTGGTGGCAAAGACCCGCAGAACAAAGCCGCCTGCCCAAGTACAGCCTATTCTGTGAGCAAGAGGCAGAGCTGGCTTCTCACTGAGGCGCCTTTGTAGAGCTTATCAAAAATGAAATGAAAAAGAAAGCTTTTGTCCCAATGCATGCCAGGGTCCTGCTGCTGTTCTGGGAGCGTGTGGGTGGGTGCCACCCTCAAGGAAAACACAGACTTGAAGAGGCACTGGGAGCCCTGATGGTGTTCTGGGTCCCACGACCATCTGTTCTCTTAGGAAAGGCTCCAGACATGCTGTGTGGGGACGTTTCACCAAAAAGCACAGTGAAACGTGGTTCAGGCTATGGATCCAATCCTGCCGTCAGCACCAGAAGATGGGCAAGCCAAGGACGAGGGGCACAGACTCAGGAGTGAGAAAGATATAACCAATTATCCTCCTGTGGCTACGTATCAAATGGGGGTGGGAGAAGTCACCTCCTCACCCGTGTCCCAGTGTCTGCCCCAAGTGGCTGTGGGAACTAAAAGAACTGCCCACTCACCCCAGCACTGTAAAAGGCAACGCTTACTCTTTTCATCCCACTGATCAAAAGCAACCAAACTGACAAGATTTACTCCATTAGAGCTCCTAGGCTCAGGTGCTGACCATGGCCTACAAAGCGAGCCATTTAAAATGTCAAAAGCACTTTCCAGTTTCATCTCACAGGCATGAGAAAGTTCCCTAAGAAGATGGGTTTCAATACTTCCTCCTTGGGTAGCCTTTTCAAAGGTTCTAGTCCTTAACTCCCTCTACCCCCTGCCCCCATTTCTGCCCTTGGAGAAGAGCCAGAGAAATAATACAGCCAAATAAGTAAAAGGGCATGGGAAGGGAGATGTTAGGTGCCATTCCCTTCCTTCCCTATGAAAGTCATTTCCCTTAACAGAGGGCTCCCCCCATAATCTGGGAGAGAAGGGTAGGAGCTTATCCCTCAGTAGCCTGGTCCTAACTGCTCACAGCTTACTACCCAGGAGGAGGAGGAGGAGAAAGAGAAAAAGGGAGGGAAGGAGAAGAAACAGAGGAAGGGGGAGGAGGAACAGAGGAAAGGGTGGGAAGGGGGAGAAAGGGGAAGGAGGAGGGGGAGGGAAGGTTATTCATATCAACAACTGTGGCTACACCAATCCCCCCCCCCCCCACCTCCAGCCCACAGCCACGGAGTCTCCGCCTGCTCAGCCTCCACCTCCCCCCTCCCTCCTCAATACAACCCAGGAGGACCTTGTAAGGGCATGGAGTAAAAGATGCTCTCAAGGCATCCACTCTGAAGTCTGAATTCCGGCAAAGTCTAATTCTGGCTGAAGGTCTACAGGCTCCTTTGGTTTACATTACTGTTTGTTACTCTAACTGAGCCTCAGTTTCTTTCTCTTTAAAATGGGCGGGAGAAAGCCTAGTTGTGGGCAGGGGAGGCTAAATTACACGTTCAGTCAGCCTGGGCCGTCACCGCCACTGAGGCTTGGATTTCTAAGTGGCTCAAAAGTCAGAAGAGGAAGGAGACCGTGCGGATCTAGCTCCTCCAAGGCCAGGCTGAGCCAAAGCAGCGCCTTAGGAACCCGGGCGTTTCTCCAGCCGCGGCGGAGGTACGAATCTCGACTTCGAAAGAAGCAGCTCCAAAGAGTGGAAATTACTTCGCCCTTCTTATCTCCATCCAAGGGAGAGCCGGAAGGGGAGGCAGGGTGTCACTCGGGACACAGAAATGGTACAAATCCTTTCTCATGGTCCCTGGCCAGGGCGCTGCCCGTTCTGGAGCATGTGACCTTGCGCCAGCAACTTCACCTCCCCAAAGCCTCAGTTTCCCCATCTGTGCAGTGGGCACAGGACTGCTCCGAAAGCGCGAAAGCGCCGGCTCAGGCCGTCCCGGGTTCGGCAGGCCAGAGGTCGTCCCCTCCGGGGCGCTGCCACCGCCCAAGCCTCCGCCTTGGGCCACGCGGGCCCCGCCGCCGCCACCACGCCCCGGGCCTTTGCCCCCAAGGCCGCCGTGGCCAGCCGCCCCGAGCCGAGACCTCCCACCCCGCGAGCCCGCCGACTCACCCGTGTAGTGCACCACGCAAGTCTGGCCGCGCTTCGGGAAGGTGCGCCCTGAGGAGACAGACAGGACAGACAGACAGACAGACGGGAGCGGTGAGCGGATACGCGCGGCGGCAGGGGCACTCCGGGCCCGCCGAGCGCGCCTACTCACCGTCTCCGGGTGAGATGGTCTCCACCTGCACTCCCATGGCGGCGGCGGCGGAGACGGAGGCGGCGGCGGAGGCGGCGGCGGCAGGGGACGCTGGGCGCGCGGGCGGGCGGGCTGCACGGCGGGCGGGCGGGCTGCACGGCGGGCGGGCGGGCTGCACGGCGGGCGGCGTGGACCCACAGCGGACCTGGCAGCGCTTCCCCGACTCTGCCTCGGCCCTCGGCGCCTCGCCTGCGCACGCGCGCGCCCCCGCACGCCCCGCCCTGCGTGCGCGCCCCACACGGCGCGCACGTCCCCGCAGCCCGGTCGGCGGGCTGGGGGACCGGAAGCCCGGCGGCCGGGAGGCCTCCGGATGCAGCCGTCTGGAGGGCGGTCCTGGTTCCCCCCACCTTTCCCTTCCCATGCTCCCCGCCTGACGGGCCTCCCTCTCCCCAGGTTTCCGCATCTGGGAAATGGGATTAATGAGTGGGGGCCTGCCGCTTACCGGCTAGGTGACTTTGAGCAGGTTCCCACTTTGAAGTACACGCTTGCGTAAACAGCAGGGTTGTGGGAGGTCGGCGCCTCTGTGCACTCACGTTAGCGTGCACCGCATGGCTCACGATTGTGAGCTTTGCTTTTCTTCGTGGGAAGAGGAGTCGGTATTTACACTGCCCTGTGTCGGAATTTCACTCATTCATTCATTCACTCATTCATTCATTCGTTGCTTACATCCTTAGGTTCTTACCAAACGCCTACCGTGCACTAGGCGCTGGGGAAGCAACAGTTGAAGGAGACAGATTCGGTCTCTGACCTCGCAGAACTTAGAGTCTGGTGAGGGAGAGACCATCAAATTGTCAGAGATCAATGTAAAGTTTCAAATTTGTTCGTGCTGTCGTTGATCCATAGCGTTATGCTCCGAAGCACGTACAACAGAGATGGCTCACTTAGTCTGGGGTCTGTGTGTGTCTGTGTACCTTCCGTGAGGTAGCCAGGTTTAGCCAAGGTCTGAAGGAATTGACCCACTGTGTGTTTGCTGGGAAAGAAGGAACATGCAAAGGCACTGTGGCCCCAGGGAACATCGTGACACCACACAGGGTGGGAAGGCGGCAGATCTGTATAATCCATCTCTGGGTCTTCATGTACATGCTCCTGAGATATTTTAAACATGACCTCAAAGTTCTTGGACACTTCCCATCATTTGTGTCCCCTTCCCTAGAATCTCAGGAAGAGGGATGCCTGGGTGGCTCAGTCGGTTAGGCATCTGCCTTTGGCTCTGGCCATGATCCCACTGTCATTGGATCCAGTCCTTCATCAGTTCTCTGCCTGCCACTCCCCCTGCTTATGTGCTATCTCTCTCTCTCTCTGACAAATAACTAAAATCTTTTTTTTTTTAGATTTTTAAAAATTTATTTATTTGACAGACAGAGACCACAAGTAGGCAGAGAGGCAGGCAGAGAGAGAGAGGAAGGGAAGCAGGCTCCCCGCTGAGCAGAGAGCCTGATGCGGGGCTCGATCCCAGGACCCTGGGATCATGACCTGAGCTGAAGGTAGAGGCTCTAACCCACTGAGCCACCCAGGCCCCCCCCCCCTTTTTAAGAAGACTCTCAGGACACTTGTGATAGCTTTGACAATTTTTGTATTATTTTGGATATGGGCTTTAACAGAAACTAAAGTAACAGTGCCTGAAAGGAGACCAAAATTGTTGTCTCTCTCTTCTAACAGTCCAGAGGCAGGCAGTTCAGCTTCACAGGCTGATCCTCCTACTTGTGCCTCTCCATCCCTAGGGTCCTACTCCCCGATGCATGACCCAGGTTTCTCTACAGAATGTTTACGTCCCAACCAGTGGCAAGGGGGAGAAAATGGAATGAAGGCAATGTCTCCCTCCTGTAAATACATGATCTAGAAGTTGCATGCATCTGTTCCCTCACACTTCATTGGCTACTACATAGGGAAGAATGTATATTAAGAGACAAAAATGGGGCACCTGGGTGGTTCAGTTGGTTAAGCACCGACTCTTGATCTCAGCTCAGGTCTTGATCTCAGGGTCATTAGTTCAAGCCCTGTGTTGGGCTCCACCTACTTAAAAAAAAAAAAAAAAGACAAAATTAAAAAGGGAGAGCTTACCAGTGGCCAGGACTGCCCCCCTACCCCACCCTGCCACCTCCACAACCACCTGAAGAAAGTCAGACTGCAGAGTTCCCGGCCAAGCCCACCCTGAAGCCCAGCAGCCTGTGGCTTCTCTCATTTTCATTCTGTGATCTGATGTTTCTCTTGTGGCTCTGGACTGGGCATCAGTTCAGAACATAGACCGGTCTTTGAAACAATGTCCATCCCAATCCACAGACAGAAGAATTTGTTTACCTTTTCATTAGGGAATTTGCCAAAAACCTCAGGTTTGCACCCCCTCTCCTTCACTGTTTTGGGGAATAGAAACATGTGACTATATTTCAGCTCTTTGTAGTCCTGAGATGAATTGGCCACCAGGGCAGATGTGTGCTAGGTAACACAAGGGACACTTATTAAATATTTGTAAGACTTTTAAAATCACTGGGAGAGTTCCTTTCCAACCTGGCTTTTTTTTTTCTTTTTTACTGAAGTAGAGTTGACACAGGATGTTCCTTGAGTTTCAGGCATACAACGTAGTGAACCGACCAGTCTACACATTATGCTGTGCTTGCCACACAGGTAGCTGCCACCGGCCACCACATAATACTATTACAATACTGTTGTCTGTATTCCCCATGCTGTACCTTTCCTTCCTGTGACCTATTCATCCCATAATCGGAAGCCTGTACCTCCCACTCCCTTTTACCCATTTTCCCATTGGCCTGCCCCCCTCCCCTCTGGTAACAATAGGTATGTTCTCTGTATGGGGCTGTCTCTGGTTTTTTTGATTTATTCATTTATTTTGTGTTTTAGATTCCACATATAAGTGAAATTGTATGGCATTTGTCTTACGCAGTCTGACTTAGTTACTCAGCGCAATACCCTCTAGGTCCATCCATGCCACAAAAAGCAAGGTCTCATCCCTTTTTATGGCTGAGTAATATTCCACTGTATATGTATATCACATCTTCTTTATCCCTTCATCTATTGATACACACTTGCTTCTATATCTTGACAGTTGCAAATAATGCTACAATAAACATAAGGATGCATACATATTTTCTAATTAGTTTTTGTTGTTGTTGTTTTCTTTGGTTAAAAAAAAATACCCAGTAGTGGAATTATTGGATGATATGGTATTTCTATTTTTAATTATTTGAGGAACCTCCATACTGTTTTCCCCAGTGACTGCACCAATTTAGATTCCCAGCAACAGCGCAAGCTGGTTCCTTTTACTCTACATTTTTGTCAATGCTTGTTATTTCTTGTCTTTTTTATTCTAGTCATCCTGACAGGTGTAAGGTGCTATCTCATTATAGTTCTATTACAATTCCCTGATGATGACTGATGTTGCGCATCTTTTCATGCGTCTGTTGGCCATCTGGATGTCTTCTTTGGAAAAATGTCTATTCATGTCATCTATCCGTTTTTAATTGGATTTTTTTTTTTTTTTTTTTTGGTGTTGAGTTCCAAGTTGGTTTTGGTTTTATGTTCATACATAGCCTAGTTATTACTTTTTTTTTTTTTTTTACAAAATTGTTATTTATTTTCTTGTAAGACTTAATTGGTTAGCTTAAGTCTAGTTATTCATTGATAAAAATGTTGTGTTCAAATCCTTTATTTTTTTAGTGTTTTAAAAAGATTTATTTATACTAGAGAGAGAGTGGGGGAGGGACAGAGGGAGAGGGACAGAGAGAATCTCAAGCAGACTCCCCGCTGAGCGCTGAGCCCAACACAGGGCTTGATCCCACAACCCTCAGATCATGACCGGAGCCAAAATCAAGAGTCAAATGCTTAACTAACTGAACCACCCAGGCATCCCAGTGTTCAAATCTTTTAAAATCAAACTTCGGCAGCCAGAAGAACTTAAAACAGAAATAGTGAGTGACTCTAAGAGGTGGGACTAGGAGAAAGGCAGATTAAACTTTTCATTTAATGTCATCCTGAACTGACTGAATTTACTGTAATCTCTGTGTGTATTATTTTCATGGTTTATAAAGGACACATGATGTCATTTAAGTCTCAAGTTATAAGCATCCCTGATGACAGGAGAGGTGAACATTCCTTGGCGCTCCGAAATCTGAAAAAATGGGGCTTAGATTTCTTTAGGATTATCCTGTTTGTATTTCATTCATCTTCTTGAATGTGTGTGTTTATATCTTTCACCAAATATGGGAAGTTTTCAGCCATTATTTTTTCAAATGTTTTTTCTGCACCACTATTTCTCCTGTTCTTCCCAGATTCTGATGACATAAACATTCACTCTCTTGGAATTGTCCCACCAGTTCCTGAAGTTCTGTTCATTTCCTCCCAATCTTTCTCTGTGTTGTTCAGATAGGATAAATTTTTTTTCTTTTTTAAGATTTTATTTATTTATTTGAGAGAGGGAGAGAGAGACCATGAGGGGGGAAGTTCAAAGAGAGAAGCAAGCCCCTGCTAAGCAGGGGCCCCAATGCGGGACTCAATCCCAGGACTCCAGGATCATGACCTGAGCTGAAGGCAGTCACTCAACCAACTGAGCCATCCAGGTGCCCAATTTTTTCTTTCTTTTGAGAAAGAGAGAGAGAGAGAGAGAGCATGCACACACAAGTTGGAGGGAGTGGCAGAGGGAAATGGAGAGGGAGAATCGTAAGTAGACTCCATGCTCAGTGTGGAGCCTAGCACAGGGCTCGATCTCACAGGGCTGAGATCATGACCTGAGCTGAAATCAAGAGTAGGAAGCTTAACCAACTGAGCCACCCAGGTGCCTCCAAATTGGATAATTTCTATTTTTCTATCATCAAGATCATTGACTTGTTTCTCCACCATCTCCTTTCTGCTAGGCACCCATTCAAAGAGCTTTTAAGTTTTTGCTTATTTTATTTTTCAGTTCTAAGATTTTCATTTTGTTCTTTATATGTTCTATTTATTTGCTTAAAATTTCTATCTGTCCATTTGTTTCTAGATTGTTTTCTCTTATTTGCTGGGGCATTTTTATAGTAGCTGCTTTATTTTTTTTTT